AGTGCAGCGTTCGATACTGTCGACCATAATATCCTATTAGAGCGATTAGAACATGCTGTAGGTATTACAGGTACTGTGCTGCAGTGGTTTGTATCATTAATTAATTAATTATGGAGTTCCATAGCATACATTTTTACTGCTATGCAGATGACACCCAACTCTATGTATCCATGAAGCCACATAACACACACCAATTAGTCAAACTAAATATCACCTGGAGTTTTTCCTTCCCACTTTCAGAAAGTGCTTGCTCATAGGGGTCATATGATTGTTGGGGTTTTCTCTGTATGTATTGTTGTAGTGTTTACCTTACAATATAAACCACCTTGAGGCGACTTTTGCAATGTATAAATAAAATTATGAATTATAATTATAACAAAATATTCCAGCTTCCACTTTGGTGCTACTCCAACTTGTGACACAAGTGGCATTAACCGCCCAAAATCAATGTTAAAAATAGGAGTTATAAATAAATGCTAAAGATTCTGTTCTCCGTGTCTTCCCTTGCGTTCACAGATAATATGAAGCCACTGACACGCAGTTCCAGTTATCCATTACTGCCACCTCACAGTAAGTCTGTGAAAAATTTATAATAATGTGTGATGGAGGTGTACCAGGTAAAGTGTTTTATTGTTGGTGGTGAAACGACTGTGGAATGAAATACATGCATGTACTGAAAAGATTTATTGATTTTAATTTCTTAACTCAAGGGGAGCAATAACTTTTCAATTAATACGTAATATTTAAGTTTTATTTAAGTTAATTAAATTGTTCTGATTCTCTTTAGTTGTCTGGAAATAAGTGGCTTACTTTTATTTTCAGTGTCTGAGCTGAGGGTGGTTCTGCTGGGGAACAAATGCTCAGAGATGAGAGCAGTGGGGAATGTTCTACTAAGAGAGGAGAAGTTCTGTACTGAAGGAGCAGCAGACTGCTGTGTGAAATTCACTACACCCTTTGAGCAAAAACAAATAGTTGTCATTAACACCCCAGACCTGCTGCTCACAAACATCTCTCAGGACAAATTGAAGGAACATGTAGAAACATGTGTGAGGCTCTCTGATCCTGGACCTCATGTGTTCCTGCTGGTTCTACAGCCTGAAGACTTCACTGAGGATCACAAACAGAGACTCTGCAGAGTCCTTCAACTGTTCAGTGATCGATCATTTGACCATTCACTAATTTTCATGTTAACATCCAGAGAGGAGAGCTCATTTGAAAACTGTATGACTCATCCACCGCTAAAAGAAATGATCAGAATGTGCAGCTACAGATACCTGTGGCAGAAGAGCTTTGAACGTTCAGAGCTGTTAACACGTTTGGTTCAAACAGCAAAGGAGATAAATGAAGATCGTCTGAGCTGTGATGTATTTGAGGATGAGGAGGGCGGATTATTCATCAGACCAAAGTGTGTTTTAAACCTGGTTCTGTGTGGGAGGAGAGGAGCAGGGAAGACGTCAGCAGCCAAGGCCATTTTAGGTCAGACTGAGCTTCATTCAGTCTCCAACTCATCAGAGTGTGTTAAACATCAGGGAGAGGTGTGTGGACGTTGGGTTTCCCTGGTGGAGCTGCCTGCCTTGTATGGAAAACCTCAGGAGGCAGTGATGGAGGAATCACTCAGGTGTATCTCCCTCTGTGATCCTGAGGGTGTCCATGCCTTCATCCTGGTCCTACCTGTGGCTCCCCTCACTGATGAAGACAAGGGAGAGTTAAAGACCATCCAGGACACATTCAGCTCTCGAGTCAATGACTTCACCATGATTCTGTTCACTGTGGACTCAGATCCTACAGATCCAGCTGTTCTCAACGTTTTAAAGGAAAATCGGGAAATCCAGGAACTCTGTGGGGGAAGATCTTTTGTTCTCAACATAAAGGACAAACAGCAGTGCCCACAATTGATGGAGACTGTGGAGAAAATAAGACACTTCAGTGGAAAACCAACTTACTATACAACAGAAACATTTTTAGATGCCCAAATGGAAAGAGTCGTACAGCAAGAGAAACAGATCAACAAACAACAGGGTGAACTTGAGAAGCTGAGAAAAACCCAAAACACCGGTGAGTACTTTTAATTGAAATCATTTTTCCTTTTTTGTAAAGATGTCAAATACTGTACACTGGATAGTTTACTATAAGCAGTGTGTAACTGCAAAGTAATAACTCAGTAGTTTTGATTCTCACACAGTCTCCTGCAAGCTTTAATAAGTCATTAATAATAGTTCTTGTCCATTAAGAACTGAGCTAAATTTAGTGTAAATTTAAATGAAAAGTTAATTTTAATACTGTGTTACAGCTTTGACTGATAAGGATAAGAAGAGCCCTGAGTGTCTCAGGATTGTTCTGATTGGGAAGACCGGCAGTGGAAAGAGTTCTTCAGGAAACACCATACTAGGATCAAACATGTTTAAAGCAAAGTCAAGTCAAAAATCAGTCACCAAATATTGTGAGAAAAAAAAGGGTGAAGTGGACGGTCATCCTGTTGTTGTGGTCGACACTCCTGGACTGTTTGACACAACTCTGTCAAATGAAGACATTCATGAGGAGATGGTGAAATGTATCAGCCTCCTGGCTCCAGGACCACATGTCTTCCTGTTGGTGTTACAGATTGGTAGATTCACAGATGAAGAGAAGAAAACATTAAAACTCATCAAGGAAGGTTTCGGGAAGAACTCTGAGAAGTTCACCATCATTCTTTTAACTGGAGGAGATGAACTAGAACGCGATGAGCGGTCCATTGAAGAATATATTAAAGAGGACTGTGATGATTTATTCAAGAAGTTAATTTCTGACTGTGGAGGAAGATACCATGTGTTTAATAATGTAGACAAAAAGAACCGCCAACAAGTCAGTGAGCTGATAACAAAGATTGACACCATAGTGAAGGAAAATGGAGGAAACTGCTTCACCAATGAGATGCTGCAAGAAGCTGAAGCAGCAATAAAGAAGGAAACGCTGAGGATCCTGAAGGAGACGGAAGAAGAGATGAAGAGAGAGAGAGAGGAGCTAGAAAGAAAACATGAGGAAGAAAAGGAAGCCATCAAAAAAAGATTGGAAGAAGAGAAGAAAAAATTACAGCAGGAAAGAGACCAGAAACTCAAAGAGATGGAGGAAAATATGAAAAAGGAGCGTGAGGAGAGAAAGAAAGAACAGGAAGTGAGAGAAAAAGAGAACAGGAAACGGGAAGAAGAGGAAGAAAAACGTAGGCAGGATTTTAAAATGCAGCTTGAAATGTTGGACAAACAAATTCAGTCAGAAAAAGAGGAAAAGGAAAGGATTGACAAAAAGCTGGAAGAGAGCAGAGAAGCAATGGAAAGAAAACAAGAAGCCTGGGAGAAAGAACGAAGAGAAGAAAGAGAGAAACGAAACATAGAACAGCAGAGACGACAGGAGGAGGAAAAACGACTAAAAGAAGAGAACGAAAAGGTGCAGCAGGAGGCACAAATGAAAATCAAAGAGATTGAAGAAAGTATTAAAAAGGAGCATGAAGAGGAGAGAAAGAAAGAACAGGAAATGAGAGAAAAAGACAACAGGAAACGGGAAGAGAAGGAAGAAAGACGTAGGCAGGATTTTAAAATAATACGTGACATGTTGAAGATACAAATTCAGTCAGAAAAAGAGGAAAAGAAAAGGATTGACAAAAAACTGGAAGAGAGCAGAGAAGAGTTGAAAAGAAAAAAAGAACTAGAGAAAGAACGAAGAGAAGGGGAGGAGAAACAAAAACAAGAATATGAACAGAGACGACGGGAGGAGGAAGAAAGGATGAAAAAACTTGAAGAAAAGTACAAACAGGAAAAAGAAAATTACGAAAACAAAAGAAAAGAAGAAGATCAGATCAAGAGAGAAAAGGAGGACAAAGAACGAAAACAACTGGAAATAAACTATAAAACAAAAATGGGAAATCTGGAGAAAACGTATGAAGAAGAAGCCAGAAAACAAGCTGAAGAGTTCAATGAATTTAAGGTAAAATACAGATGTATGGAACAAATGTATGAGAACAGACTGAAAGACAAAGAGGAAAAGTATGATCTGCTGAAGGCAATGAAAGCTCAAATGGAAGAACAGCTAAAGGAAAAACGCCAGGCAGAAAATGAAAAGCTACAGAAACAGCACAAAGGTGAAATCAGTGATGTTGTGAAAAAAATGTCCAAGAGAAGGGACTGTTTGAGAAAAATCAGCAAATTACTGGGAAAACAGGAAAAGGAAATGAAGAATGTAACCGAAGAAAAGGAAAAGAAAGCTCTGGAGGAAACGAATGAAGAACAACTAATTGAGCTGATAGAGGAACTTCTGAATGAAGTCGATTCAGAAAACAGAACAAGCTGGTGGACTGCATTCAAGAATTTTTTTTTATTCTAACAGCGAAGAATCCCATATTTTACAGTAGAGGTACACGTACACCTGGAAGTTTTTACACTTTTTTTTTTTTTTTTTTTTACACACATAACTTCATTTATTATTTCTTCTGACTCCATTTTCATGAAGTCAGATTTACCTTTAAGTATGCTAACTGAAGGACTCTTGGTTTTGGCCACAGAGTTCATAATAGTACCCAACTCTTTATTTCATAATTTAGTGACACGTCATCCTGACCTCCAGAGGCACATTCTTTCTTTCTCTTTTTCTTTGAACAAAATACTGTCTAAAACGCCACGTATGAATAAGGAATTTTGTTCAGTATTTCACTCTCTGGGTTATAATTTGTTTAAAACTTTGCTCTCTAATCAACATATCTGTAGAACTATTTTTTTTCTTGTTTTTGTTCAAATTAAAGTAGGTACAAGGGGTTGCTTTTGATAACGCATCATGAAGAAAATCTAAATGTCATGTTCTACAATTTCGCATGGGCTGTTTTCTTTGTAAGTATTAACATGTTTTATTGTTGAAAAATGTATAACTGGGTATGATTCAGTTATGCAGTTATCAGACAATTTGAATTGTATTCACAAGTTTAGAGTATACTGTATTCTTTTAAAAATCTTTTAGAAATAGGAATTTATGTTTTTTAAGACATTTATTGATGCATGACTTCTTTGTGTTGACTTTATTCATCTTATATTAAACAAACTATTTTTCCACTGTTTAATAAGACCAGTTGGATGACATTAAAATATACTGTTTTGCACTGCCTGACTTTTATTCTTCTAAATATGCTGGCAGCCTGCAGCAGCGGCTTACTGCTCGTTTTTTATCAGTTCCCAGAGTCAGAACCAGACACGGAGAAGCTGCATTCAGCTTTTATGCTCCTTATATCTGGAACAAACTCCCAGAAAGCCTCAGATCAGCTGAAACACTCAGTTTATTTAAATCCAGGTTGAAGACTCACCTGTTCTCAGCTGCATTTGAATAAAGCACCAAATCCACACTTTTAAGCTTAAATTTCAAAACTTACATTTAACTACTGATTTTATCTGTTTTGATTTTATATACTGTTTTGTTTGTTTGTTTGCTTGTTTTAATCAATTTTAAATCCTGCTTTTTATTTGTTTTTGTTTCTAATGTCTCTGTGAAGCACTTTGAATCACCTTGTTGTTGAATTGTGCTATACAAATAAACTTGCCTTGCCTTGCCTCTACAAGGATGTCTTACAATTCTTCAGCCAGAAAGGAATGAAGAAAGAGACAAATATTATTACATCTATAGTTCAATAAATGTCCACGGTATTACCAAAGAGGTATTTGCTATTAGCTGATTGTGATGTGGGGTGGAGGAATTCTTCAAATCATTCCTTTAGGAAAAGAAGCAATAAAGCACCTAAAATACACATAAAACTGTATTATTATGAAAATTGAAAGTACTATTTAAACTCAACCTAGACATCAGTGTTTCCTGTCTGATTTTTGTTTATCTTATTAAACCCATATATTTTTTTTTAATTTGACTTTTCACATTTTTTTTCCTTCTAACATATGATTGGTGGTTTTAATATTAATTTCAAATAAAGCAAAATTACGTTACACATTTTTCTGATATTTTAAATAAACATTTTTAGAGAGATGATGAGAAAGGAAAGTAGGAAGAGTAGAAAAAGACACAGCAAAGGGTCTCACATGGTTGCTTGCTCAATCTCAGCTAAACCAGCACCCTCATATATCTGACGTAAGAGAGAGATATTCCTTCGCCTTTACTGTAAAGAGTGTTGCATAGCTTTAATAATTTTACTATCAGAAAGACCAAATGTTCAGTATCACTTGTTATTTCTATGTCTCTGTCCCTCTAATCTGTCTTGCTCTCAGGCATCGGGGCTCCTCTGCTCTCTGTGATCCAATGCACAGTTAGAGTCATGTACAGTACACCGGATAACTAAACTAGTTTTCTGTAAGACTGTCACAAAAATATTTTTTCCCAGGACAATGTTGGAAGAAGTGTAGAAATGAAATTTGTGGGATTGCCCCATTGAGGACTTGCACGGACATTCACTCGTTACTCTGTGTGTTTCACTTAATAAGAGAATTTTTCTAGCGTTTGGTCGTGTGAGCCGGATTTCAATATGTCTCCAGTTCATTTCTGGCAACTCTGACTGATACACTGCACTGGGGAGTCTGGGACTCTTGATGTAACACCTCTACGCTGTCACTGGAAAAGTGCCATTTGGGAAGGTGTGTGGCTGGTGTTGTGCCAAAAAGCCTGCCAAAAACATATTTTTGGTATTTGTCAAAAAGTGATTGCCCGTACTTAAACTGCTAAAAAAAGAACAAAATAAATTTCAGCCTATAATGTGCGAAACATATGGCATGTGTCCCTCATAAATTATATTAAGTCATTTTGAGCAAAAAACACAGCATTCCTGTTACAAGGTAGAAGCCAAAATCGTCTATTTTTGTGTGATCTAGCCAAGAGGACAGCTTAAATGGCAACAAATATAACAATAAATCTGCAAACATATTTTATGTGGCAAATAGTGATGTGTCGGTCGCGAACCAAACGGCTCTTAGAGCCGACTCTTTGAAGTGAACGACTCGAGCCGTGGGATTTTTTTTCTTTCTCCCACCCTCTCTCTCGCACTTTTTTTCCCACTTCACTCCGCACGCGAGCCTTGTGCTTTACACTGGGCAGAGGGGGGAGGGGCGGTAGTTACACTGGCTGTAGCACAGGTCAAGAGGCACACGAGCATATATACAACACTTTGTTCATAAACACGTAAAATGAAAATGCTGTTTATAGTGGAATAAGAAAAATATTGTTTACAGCAGTGGTAACTAATCACTTTTAGGATTGCAGGAATGACATCCAAGATCTCCGTCCAGAAGTGTGCAGCTTTAGCAGCTGGATGGTTCCGTCGTAACCGGTCTTAGAACAATAGATCAGGGGCAAATATCAAGTAAGGGTCCCCAGACAACGGATTAAAGGTGTGGTGTTGAGGAACCAGGACGTGGCGATGAAAAA